TTTTATTTAGGCTATTGTTATCAAAATGCAAGACATTGTAGAGAGCTGCCCTTCCATCAGTATATGTTAAAGGCCTCCACCCTGCTTAAAAGTTACAGTTAATATATACGTGGTATTCTTATTTTCTTCTTTTTTAAAATAAGCTCATCAAGTATGTTTTGATTTTAAAAAAGAAAACTATTTGTAGTTAAAATTAGCAGAACATATTTTAAAGACTTACGGTTTAGATAAACTAAAAATATCAAATAAAAGTCAGTTTATGTTTTTTTATGCAAGGGAAAAGCATCAAATATAGAGATCACTGAATTACAGGTTTTTTATAAAGTTAATTTTTATTTTACTCTGTCTGTTTCGAAGTTTATGGTTCTTTCCAAAATTATACCCTTCAAGGTTTTATTTTTTTGGAAGTGAAACCATGCGTAATCAAAATTAACATAGGAAGCTACAATAGCAGAAATATAATATGCTTTGAGCTTAGATTATTATATACGCTTCAAAAAAAAAATTAAGTTCAAGGTTTAAACTTAAATTCTTCCTTTGAAAATATAACATGCTTTATCTTTGCATCAAACCAAGTAATTATAGTTGAATATTTTAATTATCGTATATAATAGATTATTTTTATGAATAACGTACTGAATATGGAATTCATTTCAAATTTTTTTTAATTTTAAGGGGTTTCAGAGTATTATATTTACAAATAGCGAATCCAAATAGGGATGGTCAAAATATCCGAATCTACTGGGTCCCGACCCGATAGGGGTCGGTTTTATTTGGGGGGCTCTAGACGAGTTATGTAGTGAAAAGGCGATATGGAGACGGGTTTAAAGTGAAAAATACCGACACAAACCGGTTATATATATATATATATATATTATATTTTAATAATTTTTATTTTTATATTATTTTTATATTATTAAAATATATTAGGTTTTTGGGGAGGGACGGATTCGGGGTTTTAGTCTAAAAATCAGAGCAGGTTCGAGGTAAGAAAAAACTCAAAATTCCTTGGGATGGGTCGGGTTGGGTTTTACATATATGTTTTCGGGTCGGGCCGGGTCTGTCAAAAACCCACCCCGCCCTTCCTCGTGTCCATCCCTAAATACAAATATCATATTCGTTTTACATTTTTTTAAGATTTTAGGTAATTTTTTTCTTCATATTCAAATTTGGATATTTTAGATGCCCTTCAATTATGATATAACCTCCTACACCCGGCCTATGCGTTTCGGCTAAGTCTAGCGGATTACAATAAAGATTCTGAAAGGCATTTTTCCAAAAACCTTATTCAATAATTTAAAATCATATTACAAATGACCTTTATATAAAAGTATATAATAATTAACTATAAAAACTAAATTCGTAAATATAAAACATGAAAGAGACCAGATAAAATATTACATGAAATAAATCTGTAGCATCGAAAATCAAATATCAGTAACAAAAGCAGAATTCGTCATAAAACGATAAATACTTCAAAAATAAGGTACATGTCACCATAATTAAAAACAGTTCAGAAGACAGAATATTACAACAAAATACTCTGAACTAAATGTATCAATCCTCCAAGTGCCTGATACGGAGTGTCTAATCCGAGAGTATCTGAAAGGAGTAAAACAGTTTGAAAAGTGAGCTAGAGGCTCAGTGTGTCCCAACAGTGCAGAAATAAAAACATACAGTTATGATTTTTAAAACCAGTACAGATCACAATCATTAAAACATCTTAGGAGTTTTTAATTTAAAAACTCTGCATCGTCCTCCAACCGAACGCCATGTGCAGATCCCCAGAAATGCACAACCTAAGGGAGTACCTTGGGGCCTGCGAGCCTACCCAAGACAATTCTCGGGGCCACTAAGGCTTACCTAAGAAAATTCTCAGGGCCGCAGAGCCTACCCAATGCTCAACTTAGGTCCATAAGAAATTATCAATCGGTGCTGAACCTATCAGAGGAATTACCAACAGCGACTGAACCTATCAGATAATGGGGGCATGGGGTTTTATATTTTTACTCGGGTATAGAAAGAGTGTTGCTAGAAATATATTTTTATAATATAAAAAATAAATATAGAGCACTAAGCGTAAAATAATGGGGGCATGGGGTTTTAAACATTTAAAAAAATGTTGGTGGAAGATAATAGATTAATCACCATGGGATTTAAATATTAAAAAAATGTTAGTGGCGAACAATGGATGAATCACCATGCCATAATGTATTTTTTTTATTATTTGAAATAATAGAAGGTTGGTTTTATTTTTAAATGTGGATGATTATCATGTTTGGCAGATTCATCTTCCCCGTATGTTAAACTCATTTTTCCTCATTTAAGCTAGCTTCCTCCCCTCCTCCTCCTCCTTGTTCCGGCCGGTGGTGGACAGCACCGCCACCTCCATCAGGTGCGCCTGACCTCTGCGAAGCGATCCCGACCAACCTCGCTCTGAAATCGGTCACAGATATGCTGAATCGAGAAGGGAAATAGACACTCAAAACCCCAATCGTCGTTTTGATTTTGTCGATTCTGGCCATTTCAACGACCGTCTTGTTTCACCGCCTCGATTTCAAACTCCTCATAGCTTTCCGATCAAAACCCAGTAGGTAGGTTGAGTTGAAATTGACGTTTCGTCTGTCCGCTGTAAGTAAAGTCAGATCGTTTAATTTCGATAATATTTCAGTGTTTTAGCTTGAAAACATATTATAGTTGGTGTTGGTTTAGATTGTTGTAGCTCAGGGAGTAACTGAACGTTGACCCGACCCGACCGTTGACCCGATCCGTTGACCTGACTAGAGAAATATGTAAAACATTCGGGTGATATTTTTGTAAATATTTTTAAAAGAGTGCCTAATACGTAATTAATTTCTGTTTGGTGCTATTTTGTAAATATTTTTAAAAAGAGTGCCTAATACGTAATTAATTTCTGTTCGGTGCTATTTTTGTAAATATTTTTAAAAGGGTATTATTTTTGTAAATATTTTTAAAAGGGTGTTAGTTTCGTAAATATTTTTAAAAGGGTGTTAGTTTCGTAAATATTTTTAAAAGGGTGTTAGTTTCGTAAGTATTTTTAAAAGGGTCTTAGTTTCGTAATTAATTTATGTTAAGTTGCTATTTTTGTAAAAGTTGACTGTTGATTGTGAGCACTGTTGACCAGAACTTTGACCAGCGTTGACCAGCTAGTAAATGACCGTTGATTTTGTCCGAGTATACCTATTCTGACATTTTTCGACGTCATGAGTCCGAATCCGAAGTCCGTTTTACCAAATTCAAAACCGAAAGCCTCCGAATTAGCCCGTAAACCTGAAAAAATCATATTTATCTAAGTGCTTTAATTTAGTTAATTGAACTGAATGATCAATGACTAATTATAGTTATGTTAAAGGTACTCGGGGATCTCCTGATTGTTTCACTGCTCGACCCGGTTCCTCCCGATTCGCTCGCCCACGAGAAGTTGTAAATACTCGTATAGTTCTAAAACCATGTTAGTTATTTTGTTTAGAATATTATTCCGAATATAATCCTGTTCTGATATGGCTTAGGTTCCCGTTCAGTCGAAGAGCCTAGTGAAGCTGGTGCTCGATAGATCTTCCGGACTGACCTTATTATCGATGTGTGTTCCTTATGTACAGAATAGATGTTTTAAATATCTATTTGAAATCTCATGTGCACATGATTGTTTTCTCTGATTTGAAATACAATGTTTGATCTGATTTATCTACTGAATGATTTATCTGATTCTGGATTTACTGAAATGTAAAGTATGATTGCCCGACTTATGATTTATGGATATTGGTTTAATAAACTGATGATCTGTCTGAACTCTGAATTACTGTTACTACTGGTTGCCGTCTGAAAAAATGTTTTCTACGGGGTACTCTGGGTTCTGGTATGAAGACTCTGGCATGTTCAGCCGCTGTTGGTAATTCCTATGATAGGTTCAACACCGATTGGTAATTCCTTATGGACCTAAGTCGAGCCTTGGGTAGGCTCTACGGCCCTGAGAATTTTCTTGGGTAAGCCTTAGTGGCCACGAGAATTGTCTTGGGTAAGCTCGCAGGCCCCAAGGTACTCTCTTTGGTTGTGCATTTCAGGGGATCTGCACATGGCGTTCGGTTGGAGGACGATGCGGAGTTTTTAAATTAAAAACTCCTAAGATGTTTTAATGACTGTGATCTGTATTGGTTTTAAAAATCATAACTGTATGTTTTTATTTGTGCACTGTTGGGACACACTGAGCCTCTAGCTCACTTTTCAAACTGTTTTACCCCTTTCAGATACTCTCAGATTAGACACTCCGTATCAGGCACTTGGAGGATTGGTACATTTAGTTCAAAGTATTTTGTTGTAATATTATGTCTTCTGAACTGTTTTTAATTATGGTGACATGTACCTTATTTTTGAAGTATTTATCGTTTTATGACGAATTCTGCTTTTGTTACTGATATTTGATTTTCGATGTTCCGGATTTATTTCATGTAATATTTTATCTGGTCTCTTTCATGTTTTATATTTACGAATTTAGTTTTTATAGTTAATTATTATATATTTTTATATAAAGGTCATTTGTAATATGATTTTAAATTATTGAATAAGGTTTTTGGAAAAATGTCTTTCAGAATCTTTAATGTAATCCGCTAGAGTTAGCCGAAACGCATAGACCGGGTGTAGGGGTTACAAATTTGGAGTAGAGTACTTACGCATTCGAAAATCAAATTTATTTCACTTTTTAAAATTTTAAGGAATATTCGGCTAAAACATTAATTAAGTAAAATTTAATACAAATAATATTTGGATTTTGAAAGGATTAGAATGAAGAAATCCAATTTATTATTATCCTTATAACACACCTAAAATGCTATGCTTATTAGTAATATAGGCAAAAATCTTTATCAACTTGTTTAAAGAAAAAATATTAAACTATTCATAATCGATTTAATAAATATTCATAATCAGATCTAAAAACATTTAAGATATGATTTTTAAAAGATATGAGTCGATTAAAACCGAGACTAAGAAATGCTGGATTTTGACATTCTATAATATTTGGAGTGTGTGGCACTACATAAAATCACAAAGCATGGGAGCACAGCTCTTGCATTCAAAGCAATAAGCTCTTCGGAGCCTTCCGATGAATCTTTAGGCAAACTCGCCACCGAATCGAACCCGCCTTCTCGTTCTTCAACAAGTCCGAGCCCTCGTTGGTGACACCGAGCAACCCTTCCGGCAATTACTCGGCAAACAACAACAGCTTTCCTAGCACAAATCTTATTATTAACACGGCATTCCTTCATAACTCTCCGATGCGCTCGTCGGCTATCGTTGCTTAACGCCACCGATTCTTCGCCCGCCGAGCCGACCAGCCGGACCATTCTGCAAACCCCGCAACTTTCCTTGCTACAAATCCTTGACAACTCATTGTTACCTAAGGAACAAGTAACAATGGCACCATGGAACCTTAACAGCTCATTGCCATCAACAGCCAATCTCCGAGAAACATTTGCAGACTTGGATTTAACAATCTCCTTATACTCTTCAAACCTCTTCAGAACACCGATGTTATGATTGATCTTCAATATTTTCTCGATTTTGGGCCCGGCTTTATCGTCCCAACCGGACTCGAACATGGCTTCCACGACTCGAAAAGCCGGGTCCTTTTCGCAGAGGTTCGAAACCAGACACGAATCTGTGCTGCTCGTTGAAGGGACACGATTGGGGTGTGTTAATGTTGTGTTCATGTTGGAACAAGATGAAAAAACAGAGGTTCTGGGAAATGAAGAACAGGTCCAAACATCCTTTTTGGTGTTGGATTTTGATGTATTTTCTCTATGTGAGGAAGATGGTTTTGATTTGGGTTTAAAGCATTTAATGGAGGAACTGGGATGACAGACCAGAGCAGCCATGGAAGCAGCCATTAAGATCTTTTCAGACATTTTTGTTTCTCTAAGAACACCAGAGCAGCATGGAAGCAGCCATACATACATATATATATTTGGAACACCCACGAAATCTGCAGAGACTTTAATGCATTGAATGTAAAAAAATGGCATGAAACTTACATGTTTAATGGGAGATTATAATTGCTTGAATTTGATTTCATTCTGATTTGTTTATGATTATAATTATTTAATGTATAGATCAATTAATTTAATTTTGATATTATAATTATTTAGTATAAAAGAAATCCTTTTTTATCCAATCCACTTTAATATATCAGGATTTTAACATTAGTCCTTGCAAGTTTTAAAATTTAAACATTAAATATTTTAAATCAAAAATTTTTATTAGTCAATATATTATAGTAAATAAATTATAGATTTAATTCATATCTCTTATAATTTTGTTATATTATCCTTAACCATTTAAATCAATTTAAAAATTTTAAATTTCAAAATCTATAAAGACTAAAATTAATCACATTAAAACACAAAATATAACCACAACTTACGATTAATAACAGAGTTGGACTGTTTTAACACACATATATATATATATGATAATAACTCTTAAAGCCAAAACATCTAGAAATATTTAATTAATTGGTGTTACAAGTTAATCAAATATTAATTTAATTAGAATAAATTTAAAAATAATCTTTAAATGATAATAAATATTATAATTTATTTTACCTTTTTATCTATTTTATATAATATTTAAATAAAGAGTAAAGTACACAAATGGTCCCCTTACTATAGGGTACAACTTTATTAAGTCATTTGACTATTAAAAGTAATAAAATGGTTCTCTGACTATAGAATATTGTTTTGTTAATTCTCTTGACTAGTAAAAGTTACAAAATGATCACTCGACTATTCATTATATTCCAAACTCATTCTTTTTCGTTAAAAAATGGTGGTTGTTTAAGCTGGACATCAACATGATGACTGTAATATAATAATCATTTGAGATTCTATGAAAAGATTTTATCATATCACAATAAAAAAATTAACGTTCAACTCAAAATACTGTCCATTTATTAATGGAAGAAAGGACGAGTTTGAAACATAATAAAATAGTCGGGTGACCATTTTGTAAATTTTAATAGTCTAAGGACTCAACAAAGCAACACTATATAGTCAAATGATCATTTTATAACTTTTAATAATTGAGTGACTTAATAAAGTATTATCCTATAGTTGAGGGACCATTTCTATACTTCACCCTTAAATAAAATAATTAACATTAATCATTTAAATACAATTTAACTATATAATATTATTTTTAGGGTAAATTACAAATTTGATAACTGAACTTTCATGCAATCCCTATTTTACTCACTATACTTTCAAAATTTTCAATTTGTTCACTCAACTTTTAAATTGCTCCTGTTTTGGTCACTAAACCATTAAATAGCTAACGATGTTATGGCATGTCAATCTCTACAAAAACTATGTAATTTTATATCCTACAAAAAAATAAGAGTAAATTACAAATTTGATAATTGAACTTTCATATAATTCCTATTTTACTCACTGTACTTTCAAAATTTTCAATTTGCTCACTCAACTTTATAGATTTATGTTGGGGTTAGAAAAACGGATGGTCAACGGAGGCAACGATAGTTAAAGGGAAAATCAACTGGGTTTTGGTCGGAAAGAGGAGAGGACTTCATCAGTGGCGACAGTGAGACGAACTAACGGTTGGGGTGTCGGAAAACGATGAAAACCGATGGGAAGCTTTGGTTTCCTGACGAACCTTTGAAGGCGGGGAGCCTTGATGTTGACCTCCAGGGTTTTGATCGCTGTGGCCTGACGCACACACTCGTACTGGCGGTGAAGGTCATCATTCAATAGCGACTGAGATCAATGGCAAGTCATCAAATGTTTTCCTATGATTTTACAATGAACGATGGGCTTTCATCAAATGTGAAGGGCATGGCTTCGATCGGGAGGCGACGACAATGCTGTTGGAGGTAGTGGTGTGAGCCACCACTGGTCGGAAATGGTTTTGGCAATGAGGGCAGCGGTGGAAGATCGTTGACAATGAGAAGTTTAATGGCAGAGTGAGAAAAATTAAAATTTTTGATAGTACGATGAGTAAAATATGAATAATATGAAAGTTTAATTGTCAAAATTGTAATTTATCCTAAGCCACGTCATAGCATCCGTGGCTTTTAACGATTAAAAACTATTTCTCTAAGCCAAACCATAACGGCGTGAGAAGTTTAACGGTAAAGTGACAAAAAAAACTCAATTTATAAAGTTGAATAAGCAAATTGAAAATTTTAAAAGTATGATGAGTAAAATAGGAATCATATGAAAGTTCAATCGTCAAATTTATAATTTACCCATTTTTTTAAAAGGACATGTTATCTTATTATACATGCACCATCGTGTCTAGGGTTAAGTCTCTTGAAGGTTTCAACACTTAGCGGCTACTCCTTTCCGCTTACAACTTCAATCCATAACAGTCTCTCTAATTCTCAGCCAACATGGGGTGCTTTTTCTTCTTAATTTTTGCTAAAATAAATGGCATTTCTTCTCTATTGCTTAGCTTGTCTGTGTTTCTTTTTCATTTTGAAGTGTTTAAGCTATTCCTGGAATGGTCTTTTTTTCACGAGAATTGTTGGTTTTTAAATCTGGGTTTTGGATCTTTCAATCCTTTACTAATTATGTTTTTAGCTATGATATAGATTTTGGTGTAAATAGTTATCTTATGAGTATTTGAATACTATGTTATTCGGACTTGGGTTTTGAGAATCGGATGCAGGATATATTCGATATTTTCAAACTTGTTTTGATGTACTTGGAGGGTCATAATTTATAGTAATATTCAAATGTGTTGGACACAATACTGCAAAGAGAAATTAGAAATTAGAGTAAGATGGGTGATAAAAAAAATCGTTATTGTTATTCAACCGTGTATTTAGATTAAATATTATTTTATAATCATTCTATCAATGAGTCATGTTTTATTTCAGGAAGACACGTGGAATGGGAGCCGGACGTAAGCTGAGGACCCATCGCAAGTGAAAATAAAATACACAAAAATCCAATTTTTTCAGAAAAATAAAAACAATTATTGGAAAAAATTGTGCACAAAAATTATCCAGAGAATTTGCCTTGTTATCAATGAATCGGAAGCTAAATATTGTGATAAACCGATTAAACTTGATCACTAAATCACAAAATTCATTACTAATTACCGAAAAAGCAGCTAATGCTAATTGAAATTACGTTTATTGATCAATTTCAAGCATCATTGGAAAAAATGGTACAAAATGTAGAGAAATCAATGGAACATGAAAGTTCAAGAGGAGATGATAAATGGAAACCTGAGATAGATTCAATGAAAGGCGTATCGATGAGGTAATCGTCTTCGGCCGTAACGTCGATGAGGCACAATCCTTTGATATCGAAATCGCTCTGTAACTCATAATCCCACTTTTTTTTTATTAAAAACAAATGAAGATTTAAAATTAACAAATCGAATCAAAGAATTTGATCATGGAGATGGGAAATGGAGGAGAGACGAAAGGAGAAAGGAGAAAACGGAAGTTGATTTATTTTTATTTTTGAATTTCGGAGAAATTTGGCGGTTCAAATGTAAATTAACTAATTATAGGATTAAGAAAATAATTAAGGAGAGTCGACCGTAACTATGAATACATTGCGATTTGCGTTGAATTATGTGATAATATGAGTTGGATTTTCTGTTTTCGTACTTTCTTTGATGTATATGATTAGAGATGGATATAGACCAGATTAGTTTTCTAGTCTACTCGAATCTAACTAAAGAATTATACTTCCTACTCATCAATCGATCTGAATTTAAGAAAACTTTATCCGACTCAAAATTCAATCCGATTTTACCGAAAAATAAAGAATAAACGATGAACAATGCAAGGAAAACATTTCAATAACATAACCATCAGACCAACCAGTCTTGTTAAGTATTTCATACTTTGTTCTCAACAATCAAAAGGAAATAGAAATGCCACCACCAAAACAAAACTGATACAATTAATCGTCTAGAGCAGAAAACTAAATTCACTGAGACACTCCCAACCACTTAGAGAAGTTCTCGAACTCGGTGTAATCACTGTCGGAGATCATGGTTTGATACCATGCTTTGCCAGCCGACTTGATTGCCGATGCTTCCTCCTGAAAGGAACGAGAAGAGGCAAAAGGAAGAAGAACGGGGTCAATAAACCAACATGGAAATTGAGAAAACATCAATCTCGCCCGAGAATGTAAACAAATGCAGGAACCAACTTGAATCTTAGAAAGATGCAAACATTCGACTTCATAATTTGAAAACCACCAATATGACTCCAGTGAGAAAGATAACCAAAGGGTGCCCATTTTAATTCACTTTGAGCCTCATCTCATGCTCAACATAAGGTGAAAAAACAGTGCTTAGTACTCATCTAGCATATGACCAAATGAAATGGCTCAAATTAAGTAAACAAATAGAAAAAACTAAGACTCCCACCACTTCCATTATCCGGCCAAAATCACGTGAAATTATAACATAGAGAAGGAGATGATGCAGGGACACATGACTCAAACAAGAGAAAGAGAACCACTGGATGCTATCACACAGCACGTATCAAGCCCAAAGTCATGCTCAACATAAGGTGGAAAAATCAATGCATAATACTCATGTAGCATATGTCGTAGGCAATGGCGTGAGTCAAATAAACAAGTAGCACAACACAAAATAAGAGTCCTCCCACTGCCTCCCTTTCTCTCAACAAAACCACTAAATGCATGCAAGATATGTGCATCATATGAATAGTTTCGAAGCATGATTTTAAACAGAGTTGCAGCAGCAATAGCAACTTATCGTATAGTACATCAGTCAATCAAATAAATACTTGGCATTAAAAAGCAGAAATGGTTCCTTTGATCATATAAATCAAACTCAAGACCAGCAAACAAAGCGTCCCATTACATTAAGCATTAAATATAATTCTATAATGCATCAGCCT